GAAGAAGAATTAGCAGAGAAAACAACAAGTGAAAAAAGTGAAACAAATTAGAAATTGCTTTAAAGTTTTTCTTTTTCATTTACATTACTTTTTTTTTCTCTTGCAATATTTTGTTTTAATTAAATTTCTAGTTTTTGTATTCTTAACGTTTCTTAGCAAATAAATCAGATTCGATTTTTCTCGGGTTTTTTTTTCTGTTTTGCTAAAGAGTATCACTAAAAAAATGTGTATGTTTTATGTGTGTGTTTTTTCTTCATATTTATTTTTATTAAATTGTTTATGTTTTATGTAAATGTTGACATTTATTACAATATTTGATTTACTATGCCAATTATTTTTTTATTTTTTTTATCGTTTTTTTTCCTTTTTTAAGAACTCGCATCTATGTAAGTATATACTTGTATATTTTTTATACATTTATATATGTATATATGTATATATACATATAAATATATATACATACATATTTATATAATGATTTGTAAAATATTGCTTGTGAAACGTTTAACTTGACATTTGTGTGTTCGTGTTATCAACGCCGGCTGAAGGTGACGCTGCGCATTGCACAAAAAAAAATATATTCAATATACAATTTTTTCATTTCCTATTTCTTCTATTTTGCATTTGCATGAGTATTTTTCATAGCTCGCAGATAACTGTTGTCCGTTACTCGATGCCTGTCAACGAGTGCCTTTCACCCATACTTTGAGAAGAAAAAAAAAACTCAAAGAGCAACCGATTGCATCGGCTCCTTAACGAGCTCGTTCGCGATCGGCTCGTAACCGTTTCGCTCTGGCTGTTCTCCAACCGTTTCATTGAGTTAAATGAAGCGAAAGCTTGAGTGTATGTATTTCGTATATGTATATACCAGTGTTGGGCTCGCTATGCATATCAGTTACGTACCTAAATTGAGTGTGTGCGTGTGTATGTGACCCTTTGAGCTTACTCAGTTTCTGAGTCTCATTGTGCGTGCTTTAATCGTATCGGTCCCCAAGCGATGTTCGTCAAGCGAGCGTCACGCGAACGGTTAAACTCAGAACGCTCAATCGAAAGCGAAGAGGAGCAAAAATGAAGTAGGAGCGAGAACGAATTAGTTAGAGCGAGAGCGAGTAGTCTTCTTCGGTTGATTTCGCGAGCAGAGCGTAAAGGTAAAACTGCTAACAGTTATTTGTGAGCTATGGTATTTGTATTGAATTTTTTTCAGCTATTTTTTTGTTTTTACTCATGCTCTGTTTTACAATTGACTTGAATGCCTTTGACAAGAAAAAAAACTTACTTACTTTTTACTTAAGACCCGTCAATATTTTGGTGTTAACAAACTTACTTCGTATGTGCCTGGACCTGGGCCGCAGCGCACTATTGAATGAGTTGATGTTCTTGAGTGATATTTACAGCTCTTATAAATGTTTTTTTTTTTTTTTTTCGGTGTCTTTTGGTTATATTTATAACTTAAAGGAAAGTCAAAGAAAATTGTAAATGTATTTGCTTTTCTTTTTATCATTATATATTTAATATATAGATTTTTGTTACGTTTAACTACTAAACTACAGACACATTTCTTTTTGTCAGCTATATCACGAATTATTTAATTATTGATTAAGGTTCTCATATAATCATGTGTTGCTGTTGTGTATTGTATTTATTTAAATGTTAGTATATATTTTTAGTATATATATATATATAATAATTTCTGCATTTTGTTTTTCGAAGAATTTCAGTGAGGTTCTTAGAAGCGTTTGTTTTTTATTTTTTCATTTTTTATTATTATTAATTATTATTAGTTTGTAGTGCCTACTACAAGTAATATATATATATATATATATATATATTAGCTTGTCAGTATATAGATAGGTATATAGCTATATGCATATATATATATATATATATGCATGTATGTGTGTGTGTATATATGTATATCTATGCCATTTTTTTTTTTTTTTTTTTCAAATTTTAGTGTTTTTTTTTCAGTTGAGGCGACAGGTTTTTTTACGGTTTCAATTGTTTCAATTGGCGTGCACTAAGTCGAAAGAAAAGAAACATGAAAATCTGTGAAAATAATTCCATAAATAAAAATGAAGTAAAAATTGCAGAAATTGCATTGAAAAAGTTTATACGATTATTTATGCCGATAAGCGTCTACGAATGTATAATATAAACATACATATATATGTGTGTATATATGTATGGGTATGTGTATATATATAAATTTGATGCTGGTGCCATTTAAGAATTTCAAAGTGATTGGAAAAATTTGAATTTAAGGCCACTCATTAAAGTAGTCAAAGTAGCAAAATAAACAATAAGGAGATAAAAACGATGCTCTTCGGCATGCCGAAGCTCGAAAACACTTGTAGAAGCCGACTAGAAGTTATGTATCCAAAAGAAGCTCGAAGAGATATATCATATCTCAGATATATCTCTTAGATCTCAGCAGAGGTAGCATAAAAGCTTTATACCTTGATAAGGATCACATCATATCGCATGGAAATTATTGATCCTGATGACGGTTTCTCCTTATATAAGCTATATTTTAAATCTGAGATAGATCACACAGATCTCAGCATGTATAGCATTGAAATGTATATAATAGAAGCTATATTTCAGGACTGAGATATATCATCTGAATTTCAGCATGTGTAGCGTGGGACTTTTATAAGATAAAGAAATCATTATATAGTATAGAATTTATATCTTGATGCTGCATATCATCTATAGCCTAATATTGCTTTAAGAGCAGATATATCCGATATAGATTCCATTTAGTATTGCAGCTTCTACAAGTGTGCAAAAATGATTGTGAGCCATATCCAAGTGATTGATTTGGTATACGAATATATATATAGCTATATATATATACTATATATGTTGATGGTTCTATATGGATATGAGCAACGTTTATAGTATATAATATGATCAGAGTGTTCGGCATTAAGTACTTAAGCATATGTGTATGTACTCCAATCTACAATACATAGGCATACATATATTTGTGTATGTGTATATATCTACATAGATATATAATATAAATAAATATACATATGTATATATAAATATATATGTGTGTGTGTGTGTGTTGCGTATGGCATAATGGAGCTTTAATATGATCTATGAGCGAGTATATAAAAAGTTATGGGTGTGCATGATTAGCCGTAAGAATTAGCAAATATGTATTCAAGTACATATATATATATATATATATAGAGAACTATATACATATATATATATAGTTGCATGTATATAAATATATATATAAATAGTTTATAATAAATTATTAACTGGGTTATTAAATCAATGCAATAATAAAGCTGAACCGCATATAGAATAGAAATTAAATCGCATGATGGATCTGTATATAGATTTTTTTTTCTGTTCATTTGTTTTTGGGCTCTCAAACGGGACTATTTGTACTACATAAAGATAGATAGATATATAGAGCAAGATATACAGAGAGACAGAGAGAGGGAGAGAGACAGAGCGAGAGAGAGAGATAGATAGAGATAGAGCGAGCTGGCTATTGATGTACATGTTGTTGTTGTAGTAGTAGCTGTTGTTGTGGCTTGTTTCCTGTTGCAGTTGTTGTTGTTCTTTTTTGGTTTTTTTGTTTTTCTTTTAAATTTTAATTTACTAATCATTGCTTTTTTTTTTTTTTTTTTTTTTTTTTTTTTTTTTTTTTTGGTGTTCATTGCTTTCAATATGTTAACTTTTCTTTTGTTATTTGTTTATAATAAAAACTATATACTTTTATATTATTTTATTTGTGGCGGCTATTGTCAAATTTCCGTTAACTTAATTATAATTGCGCATAAGAAATACAATTTACAAAGAAATCATAATCAGGATTATAATGATAATCATAATATACCCAATTGTTGCGCTTGTCTCTGTGAGTGTGTGCGTGTGTGTGTGTGTCTCTCTGTACGTGTGTGGGTGTGTGTGTGTGTGCTGTGGCCTAATTGAAAATATATGACGTTCGGTTTTGCGCGGCTTTTGCACTTGTCATTGATTAATGCCTGGGTATTGTTAATTAATTAATTAATTGCCTTTGCTCTGTGTTCCTTCTTGTTGTCAAATATAAACATATATACATATATATCTATGTGCGTGTATATATATATATATATATATATATATATGTATAAGTATATATGTATATTTTGTATATATTAAGTATTAAGTTCAATCCATTTTGTTTTTTTTTTTTTTTTTTTTGTGGTTTCTTCATTTCTGTATATCAACAATGCTTACGTTTTACTGTTATATTCAATATTTTTTCATTCAATTTTTATTTTTTTTATAAATTACTCGAAGGCTGCGTTCGTTTTCTTTTTTTTTTTTTTTTTCTTCTTTCTTTTATTTTTCGTTTGCTTGCGTGATTGTTATTTTCATTAAGTATATAATTATTATATATATGTGTATATTTTATTTTTATGCAATGATTTTTTGTTGTTTACTAATAATTTGTGTATGCTCAAAATATGATTTACGTTACGTTTTTTCTTTTAATATTTATTGTTGTTTATTTTATAGTTTTTATTGCTATGAACTGCGTTCTACTTACGCCACGATTTAGACTTTAGCCATATTTTGTATATATTTAAACATACATACATATATATGCAAATACATATATATATGTGTGTGTGCTTTGAATTTCTCTATTCGTTTCATTATATATATCAAAAAATTATTATCATTTTGAATATTAATCGACGCGCGAAATCGAGCAAAAAAAAATATATATATATATTTAGTTCTTAAGTTATTTTTTTTTTTTTTTTTTTTTTTTTTTGCAAGAGCGACTCTGATCTTTGATTGCTTGAAAGAGTTCATATATAGTTGTATCTTTGAACTATATATGTATATATATATATATATTATATATATATGCTGTGTGGGAGTTTTGTAAGATTTGTAAACAAAAACCAGAAGCGCTTCCATTGAGTTTTTTGTTTTTGGATTTTTTCTTTTTTGTCTCAAAAACTTGTAGCATTTTGAAAGTATTTTAATTTTTGATGTTACAGTTGTATTTGTTGCGCGTTTCTATATTATGTTGATTTGTTGTTAATTTGTTGGATTATTATTATTTTTTTTTTTTTTAACCACCACCTAAACTTAACGCCTGAACTATACGTGGATCAGCTTTACTACCCTCACGAAATTCTTCTAATGTTAATTTGCCATCATGATTCTTATCCATTTGATCAAATATCTTATCCACTCGTTTCTGCGGCGTGTTCTCATCCTCCGACTGCGGCTGTTGACCCTATTGAAGTAATAATAATAATGACAGTAATACCATTGAGATAGCATAATTATTGCTTCGATCGGATATCTACATATATCTCTATGTGTGTGTGTGTGTGTGTCTGTCAGATATCTATCTATGTGTATGTGTATGTGTGTGTATATATAAATGTCGTATTTACCACCATCTGATATATTGCGTCCACAATGTTGTACATTTCCTCGCGGGTTATGTAGCCATCGTTGTCGACGTCGTACAGACGGAACGCCCCTGCATGATTGGGGGAAAGAAGAGAGAAGAAAAGAGCAAATGGAATATGCCAATTGACGTTAATTGGTAACGTCGGCCATTGACAATGATTGGTCTCTCATTATTTGATGGCTGCACGGCATGGCAGCATGAAAACTTACATTGCAATTTCTCGTCCAGGTTGCCCTTCGATGTGACGGATAAGGCGCGTATGAACTCCTCGAACTCGATGGACCCATCCTGCGGAGCACAAGCAAAACAACAGAAAAGAAGAAGCAAAACCGAAAGGAGAGACAGAGACAGAGAGAGAGAGAGAGAGAGAGAAAAGCGACAGCAGAGCAAATCAGTGCAGACCCCAGACAGCTAACAAGTTAAGGGCGCCAACGTCGACGACATCGAAGACGACGTCGACGACGCCAACGGCAATGCCATTGCCCTATCCACCATCTTAGCCACCGCCACCGCCATCGCCACCGCCATCGCCATCGCCATCGCCATCAGCACCGCCACCGCCACCACGTCTGCACCACAAGTCATAAATAAAATGAACGCTCCTTTATGAGTCCCTAGTGGGGTTTGGCCATAACCAAAACGTTGCATGAGATATTCGAGTTGAGTGCTACTTGGTTAGTAAATAACAACTGGCACTCTCTCTCTCTCCCTCTCTCTCTCTCTCTCTCCCTCCCTCTCTCTTTCTCTCTCTCTCTCATTCTTTCACTGTCTGCTTCAGATCCAATCTAAGCTAACTGAGCTCAGCATCTCAAGCAGTTTGTATTCCATTTCCCAATAGATTCATATTGTTCTCCATCAGCTTTATTGGGAACTCATTTTACGAACTTTAAAGCTGTAGACTAGCAACTTTTATATTTGAAGTTTTCTCCACTTTGCCATATTCATTTCTAATTAATTTTTAGCCCTTATTTAAGCCAAAGTCTTGATTATATTTCTATAACATGCTCCAAAAGCTCTTTTAAAATCTATTTTACATTCATTTCAAAAATCACTTTTATACCCCATTCTAAAATCCCTTACAAAATCTTTGCTTTATCTTTTCAAAGATTCGTTCGAAAATCTCTTACAAAAATCTCTTTTTATATCTCTTTTAATATCTGTTCTCTTCTAATAATTTCTTCAAAATAATTTCTAAAGTCTCTTTTGAAATTCGTTATAAAATCTCTTCTAAAATATTTTCTAATCGTCTTCAAAAATCTCTTCCAAAATATTCTTTAGCAAAACTGTTAGAAATCTGTTCTCTGTAATCTCTTCTAAAATCTACTTTTGAACCCCTTTTAAAATCGTTGAAAGTAAATCTTGTCACTTCATCACTTTTAAAAGTTATTCTAAAATTTCATTAAAAGTCTCTTTCCAAAAATGTTTCAAAACCCCCTTTGAAAGTCTGTCAAAGTCTCTTCTAGAAATTCTCTTTAAAATTCTTCGCTATTAAATTTCTTCAAAAATATTTTCTTGTCGGTTTCAAGGATATCCTTCAAAATATTGTCTTCTAAAATTTTTTTTAATCTGTTCTATAACCTCTTCCAAAATCTCTTTTAACAATGTTCGCTTCTTTTCTAAAATTACTTTTAATATCTGAACGAAAACTACTTTGAGAATCTGTTCGAAAATCCTGTTAAAATTTTAATCGGAACCCAAAACGAATTATCCTTTGTCTATAATCAAATATTTCCAATAGATAATCTTCAGCTAATTGATTTTCACACTAAGCACTCGCATATCCAGTTACAGGGTATACAAGCGCCCATAGGCCCTAGCCGGCGTGGCGCACTCTATTAGGCCATTTTTGGCTAATTGGCCTAAATCGTCAACTTTTGCGCTCCAGTTGCGTACAAATTCATCATTGTCAAAGCGCCCGGCTGGCTTTCATGATGGGGCTGGTGGGTTGCTTGGAGTAGGATCTGAAGGTTGGGTGCTGCTTGGGTGGTTGCTGGCTGTGAGTGGTTGGGTTTGGCATTGGGTAAGGGCATGGGCATGGGATGGTTGTGGAAACGAGCTGCAAGGACATGAGCTGAATGGCCTTAATACTCACATTGTTCTCATCGAAGACACGAAACACAAGCGAAGCAAATTTACTGGGATCGCCTTGTGGGAAAAATTGTTTGTAGATTTTGATAAAACCCTGGCAGAAAGATGAGAAACAATTAGGATGTTGCGGGCGTGGCTTAATAAGTCGTATGTGTGTGTGTGTGTGTGTGTGTGTGAATGTGTGAGTGATTCAAGTTGTGTTTTCCAATGAGGCGCACATTAATACATTTTAATATGAACAGCAGTCAACAGCAGCAGTCAACAGCAACAACGACAACAACAACAGCAGCAGCAACTGTTGCCGTCAACACATTGGAAATGGCCTGTCATTCATTTTGGCAACAGGATGTGCTGTGAGTTCTTCTTTGCCAAGGACGAATAGCTATAAGCTGCACTCAATGTTGTTGTTATTGCTATTGTTGTTGTAGTTGTTGTTATTGTTATTATTCCTGTTGCTGCTGCTGCTGCTGCTGTTGCTGCTGCTGGATCGTTTGCTGTTTCAAGAAATTAGTGTTCACATATTGAGAAGATTAACTTAATTAACAGCATGACTTGAATGAATTGAATCAGCTTAAACATGTGCTTGCTCTCCATAAGCGTATGAGTGTCTCTGTGCATGTAAGTGCCTGTGTTTATGTGTATGTGTGTGTGTGTGTGTGTGTGCTTGAGTGTACTCATTGTCAGCTACATACTTGCTCTGTGAGTAAACCATTCGGACAGTCTTTTAGAAATCCTTTGTGCCTGTATTGATGCCGAATGTTTACAGTTAGCATTCATCATTTAATTACTTTTATCTCACATTTGCAGCACGGCATACTCACCATTGACGTATTTCTTTTTCAGTAACTGCAAAACAGAAAGAAAAGAAAAAAAACAGAAATTTATAATATCTATTAAAGTGAATGTGAAGATTTGAAAAAACATTTGGCCTTAAATAGAGAAAATTGAAAAGCAAATGCAAATGCTTTGCACATATGAAAAATATATATAAATAACTAAATGTATATGCAACTATATGAATGGAGGCGAAAGGAATGCAAGGCTTTTAATTAAATGTTTCATATGTGAGTATGATTCGTTGTGGGGACCCTCAAATACCCTTTGGATCAACTGCGATTCAAGTTAATTCGAGCTGAAGTCAAACTTTCTTTCAGTGAACAAATTTGAGATAAATAAATATATGTTGCTTATATGACCAAGTAATATTAAATATCTCTAATCCTGATCTATAAATATTATAGATAATTAAATACCCTTGATAGCTGAGATTCTTATTCGAGTTAAATTACAATTGCTTCCCCTGATGTCAAAACTTTCATTCAGTGCAATCCCAATTCACGTAAGGGAATATGATATAAACATATAGACCTACATACATATATAACTAGATAATTCTAAAGATTTAGCTTATATTTATCTATAAATATTCAAGCTGATAAACAGATGATAACTGCCAAATAAAATAAATATACATATTATATTTCATTTGCAGTATATCAAATTCTAATCTACTTCTTCTTCTTCTTCATCTACTCACATAACGACCCTGCATGAATAATCTCAGCTGCTATCTCGCTCTCACTCAGCAACAGCCACATACTACGTTCAGCAAACAGCTACCTCTGTCTCGCTCACTCACACAGAGTGAGCTTTAGACGATGTTAGCTGGAAATGAGAAGCGTGTAGCTGAAACACAAGCAAACTCTCTCGGATAATATTTTTACAAGAGCTCTAGGCAAGCTCACTAGCTCAGTCGAATAATATTTCTGCAGCTCAGCCTCACACTAATACTAAAACAACACTATAATACAATACTACTAATATAACATAAGCAAATACGACATGGAAATGCTCAGACCCGAGACACTGCTCATCTTCATAGAGAGGCGAGAATTTGATGGGCTCATGACAACTATGTATTCGATATATATGTATGTATATATTTGACATATATATATGTATGTATGTTTAGTTTTATGTTACGCTGCTCTGTTTGAAGAGTGAAGTAACTTTAAAGAGTATTTTTACTGAAATTTTAATCTGGGATCTGGCATCTCTGTTCAGAGATAGATGGCAGCCTTTACATTGTTAGTATTACTGCCTTCCATAAGAACTCTGCTTTCCTCCCACGAGCTCCTCTTGTCGCTCCGTTCATTTGTCTAACAGTCTTGGATCGAGTGCGGGTGTTTGACTGCCTCTACCTGACTCTCTATTTCTATAGCAGCTCTATAGGAAGAACTTAAGTAGCCCCCCAGCTTTCACTCAGCAACAACCGGAACAAAGTTCTGCAATAGCTATTGTTATCCCTCCCTCTCTCTCTCTCTCTCTCTCTCTTTCTCATTGCCTCTCTATCGGTAGAAAGGAAAGTAAACTGTAGCTAAGCCCACCTTAATAAATTGAGACAAATATCTGAACTAAATCAAGCTCTACTGACTTTTCTTCGAGTTTCCTCATGTAACTAACCTATCTCTAGAGCGAACGAGCTAAATGAAAATAGTAGTACTCTGTTAACTGACTCTTGGGACAAATTCCACATTCACCGAGAAGTTGTCCGACTTCATTTTGATTATAATGAATCCCAAAATAAATAAGTAAACGCACCCTTGCCACCTTCCCCCCGTTTCGGATTTGTGGGCTTTTTTAAAGACTTCGTTCGGGCCATAAACAATTTACAGTAAGCCACATGTGATGGCCATGGTTTGGGCCCTTATACCAATGGGCTCTGGCCGGAGTGCTTCTGCACGCGTTTGTACTTACATACATACATTTTTCTCATTGTCTTGCGGCCCCGCCCAAAAAAAAAGCAAACACATTTTTTCCCTCTATGCATAACGATTTCCATATACGGCTTGGGCTCGCTTCTTTTTTTTTTTCCTTATTCCTTATTATTATTATTATTATTTTTGGTCATGGCTGGCATTGGCATGGCCTAATGGCCGTTTACGAAACGTTTAAGCTACGGTCTCCCGATCCCTGGCCGTACACCGGGCACCGGCCTGGCTCCCACTGTGACCGTTATGGGCGTGTGAATGGCGCACATGTTACACCGCACCCGCCCACCGCCCACCGGCCCGGCCGGGTGAGTGAGCAATTGGTGGGGCAAATGAGGGATCTTGCGGCAAACAAAGTTTAAGACCAAAACATAAATTCACGCAAAATTACACACACGGAATTGCTGCTAAGCTCCCAGCCAATGGCCACCGCTCAGCTCCCATGGGACAACAGCAGCAGCCGGAGCAGCCGGGGCACCCGACCCAATCCAATCCGAGCCCCCAAATATCGCGCATTAAGTGAGCTGCCTGACCGAATCGAAAACTGACTTTGGTAATTTTTCATGCGAACGTGGCTCATCTCTAATGCCGCGTCTCAGACGAAGTCCAAGCGCGATGACCAGCCGAGGTCGCAGCTCATTGCGATTTCAATTATAATTCAGCTGCTCGTTCTTTTATCTTTGCCAATATCTTGTTGTTCAAATATTCATTAAAATCTGCCATTTGATCATCCGTTGTCCTTGGCAATTCCATCATCAAGTCCGACGTCATCAGGGGAGACTCTGACGACTCTGCATGAGTTGACTCTGTCAAAGCATGAGTCAATGGCAATTGGACAAAAGTGCAAACGCAAAAAAAAATATTGAAGAGGACCCAGAAAAGCCCACACACAATGTTTTTCGTATGAGAAAATAATAAATAAAAAAACAGTCAAGTCTCGATAATCCGCTAAATCGAAAATCGCGGTAAATCAAAAAAATTCGATCGCCTTGAAAAATATTCGCTCTCGATAATCTTAATTTCTGCGTAAATAAATAACATCTGATCTCCTTGCTATTTCGAATTATCGGAGCTCTACTGTATATAAAGACTTTGATTGAAAATTTATCATTGACATTTAGCTGAAAGTGATACTAATGAAGTTTTGTTTACGATTCAAAGAAATACATAGGTTCGGTAATAAGCTTCCAGATTCATATATGTATCTATTTGATATGTAAGGCTATATTGATATAGAAATGACCAAGAACTGATAAATATGATATATATTATATAAGAAAAAATGTTTAGTTTAAAGTTTAAAAGTTAACATATTTAAGCCAATATGGAATATGGATGAAAGTTGTTCAGAAGTGATGAAAGTGTCTTATAGAACAAGACCCAGAAAAGAGGTCCAACAACAAGCTTCCAGATGTTATTGCCCTCATCAAAACGCATCTAATAAAATGAGTCATGGAATGAGTCATGGAATGAGTCATAGAATGAGTCATGGAATGAGTCCAAATGCAGCTTGATGTTTTAAGCTCTGCAGCCAAGCAGAAGCATACAAATTAATATTGGTATAGCTTTAAAACAAAATGTAAAATATTCTAAAATCGTAAAGGGTTTATTTCATAGCGATTTCTCTTATTGGGTCACTCTCAACATGAAAATGCAGATTTTGCTTTATTACAGTTGGTGCTACACAGGATCACAGAAAACACCTTTATTTGTATGAGTGGGGCTGTCGTTCATAGGTTTTTCCTAACGTCTAATGAGTCAACATATCGAAGCTAGAGACCAGAGCAGCGATCCATCGGTACAAAATCTTTGTATACATTAACTTTATATACAAAACAAATTTGAAGTCTACAGGTCTAAAAATGTTCAAATTTGGCTGAAAAAACAAAGCCGATTTTTCAATTATTCTCGATAATAAAGTTATCGGACGAGTTATCGAAAAAATATGATAAACTTGTACTGCCTACGGATAACACGAGTATGCATGCCAGCTCTCTAGCACTTATATCTTCTGAGTTTCTATTGCTCATACGGATGGACAGACGGACAGGGCTATATCGACTCAGCTCGTCGTACTGATCAAGAATATATATACTTTATGGGGTCTGCGATGATTCCTTCTGCCCGTTACATACTTTTCACAAAACCATTATACCCTGATTTCACATTTTCAATGGGTTCAGGGTATAAATATGTGCCATAATATATACCTACATGTTTAACATATATCATTAATATTCTTAATTTATAATCATACTATTATTGTCCGTCACGATTTGTGGCACTCGAATGCAGATTCAAATGCTCGAATCTTTCAATTAGCCAAGTCGCCCGAGCCGTGCAGTCCGGCTCGCGCGTCTGCCAAACACGCCAACAAAAGAACTCACGGACTTCGTCAACTCAATAAAATCAACAATTGGCGAAGCTGATACTGAATTGATTGGTAATCGATAGAGTGAGGGCGAGAGTGGTTGGCTGAGGGTGGTTGAGGGTGGTTGAGAGCGTGTTGTCACAAAGCCACCAGCAACTCGTTCACAATGTTATCCCAGCGGCAAACGGCGGGCTTTGTGTCCGCTTCTATTGCTTCTATTATTGACGTGTGGCATGTACAAATATATACAGCGCCGTTTACCGAAGCAATGTGTGGATTGTAAATAATGCGCATATTGCTCATACGACTTGTTGCCACTGAGCCACACATCGAGCCATCGAGCCATCGAGCCACTCGCTGTCAGTCGATAACGTCGCACAACTGTCACAGGCAAATGACTGCCATACATTTTCATTTCATTGTATGCTGCTGTAGCCCGGCTTCTCTTTAAAGAGCACCGGGATGAGCATGAATTGGCCAGGCACCAAATATGGCACACTGACTCATATAAGCTGATGCACACTTGCAATAGTAATCCGATGTAATGCAAGATAAGCACTTGTTCACCTGTCATTCGGTGATTTAATGCCGTGTGATTAAGTTTGCTTTCAATCGGTTTATAGTTTGCACTGAAAATCGTTTTCGATGAGGCTTAATGCATATATACATTGACATATACATATACATATATTTGTGAAGTCATT